CTGTCTGCATTTCTTAGTCTAAGTCTAGCCTGGGGCTCTGTCCCAGTCTGAGAAGGGGTTAGGGATAGGGTCTACAGCCTAGCGGGGAGTTGTGGTGGCACTCTGGGTACAGATCGGGCTCTCCTGGAGGCAGGAATATGCCAACCTGCGGTGATTGTATAGGCTGGCGGGAGCCTGCTGCAGTGGTTCTCAACCTTCCTAATGCCACGGCCCTTTAATACAGTTCCCATTGGCTTAGAGAATTTTGTAAATGCTGTGTTAACTGGGTGAAGGGTGCAAAGCTGTCTGGAGCCTCTTTGCATAACATTCTCCTCCCTAGGGCCACCCCACAAGGGGAAGCATTTGTTAATCTTGAGGGTTCCAGACAAAGGCAGCTTTTGCTTATCCTGCTTACCTTCAAGTGCCATGAGTGCCCCAGGCTCTGGCAGGGAGACCCCTGTCATCTTCCCCACCCAAGGCTTCTGACTTTCCTTGGGGGCGGGTGGAGAGAACAAAGGAGCTTGTAGAGAGGGCCCTTGATGAGAGTCCCAGGCCCTCCACCTGCTCTGGCCAGGGAGCAGGATGGCCTATAGGACAGTCCACAGCTTAGCATCCTTCAGAAAGGAAGGAAAGGCTCATCATGCCCTACTGAATGTGCCCCCGGATTGTGTGCAAAGGAGTTGACCTGTGAGTGCTGACCCTTTTCCCTAGGGTCCTGCATCTCCCAGGTGCTCCGTGTAATCACTATTGTTCAGGTCCCTTTAATCAGAGACTCAATGTATTTCCCTGTGTTTCAGACGTTGGTGATCAAAGTGTCTGGCGTGATTCTGTCTGTGGTAGGGGGACTGGCCGTGGGAAAGGTAACAAAGTGCTTGTGACACTGTCCCAGCCCACATCTGAGTTATCCCTAGCCTGTATATGACCTCTAAGCACTGGACCCAAGGCCTGTATATGACCTCTAAGCACTGGTTGCCTTCTATGTCTTCAAGGAAGGGCCAATGATCCACTCGGGGTCGGTGATTGCTGCTGGGATTTCCCAAGGAAGGTCGACATCGCTGAAGCGCGATTTCAAGGTGAGCCCTCTCCTCTTTCTGCACAGGTGGGTTGTGGATGCCATGGTTGTGGGAGCACCTCTGGGAGCTGGGCTTCCCTCAGCATCTTTAGGCAAGGGAGCCTGTCCTCCTCCCCATCTTCCTCCAGGAGGTAGCCTGACCTGTTTGTAGTTGGGAATAAAGGGTGTGTTCCCTTTGCTTCCTGATCCTGTGGCCATCCCACAAGGGTTCCCCTGCTATGCGGGTATGAATTTACCGTGCAATTTACTTTAGCGGCTTCTGAAAGGAATATATAAAGCATTTCACATTAGAGATGTTTGTTTTTCAAGATAAATGCATAACAGTTTTGTTATGTTTCCCCAAAAGTCAGCAGTATTTTGATAGGAATGGCTCTGAATTATCATGAATTTAGACAGTTAACACTTTACAATATAATCTTTTTTTTAAATTGAGAACAAGTTTAGGTTTTTCACTCATTGTTTTCTTTAGGGGTTAGAAACAGAATTAGAGGTTTAATTAGAATTTAGAGGTTTGGGTGTATCTTTTTTGTGAATTGTAAACTTGAATTTCTGTCATGGAGGGTCTTGCTATTGTTTTCCCTCCCCTGTGGGCAGCAGGATAGCCACGCGGCCTGTTTTCTCCTGTGGCTGCTACAGCGCTATGCCCTCCCTATGTCCAGTAATGGACAGCTGCCCCTCTCCAGCCCTTGTCTAGGTGGGTGGCCTAGTTGATTTCCCTTTCTGGGATATGCTGGCACATTGGAAAACCTGCCCGTGACTCTGTTTCTGTTTCAGATCTTCGAGTATTTCCGCAGAGACACAGAGAAGCGAGACTTTGTCTCAGCAGGTGCTGCAGCTGGCGTGTCGGCTGCATTTGGAGCCCCTGTAGGTGAGGAGGGGCTGGTCCTGCCTGGTCTGTGGCCTCTGCCTTAGGAGCTCCCTGCCCTGCATGTGTGGAGGAGTTGTTTTGGTGCTTCTAGACTGAGTGCCCAGTGAGCATTGGCAGGTGGCTTGGAGTTACTGGGCAGGGGGTTGGCAGAGGCGTTGGGTGCTGTGCCCAGGCCTGACCTTCAGAAGTCTGGCAGCCCCTCTTCCCAAGCCCTTTCTTTTCTAACTCTGTAGTTTCCCTCTGACCTGGTCTTCCTTCCCTGGGGTCTGGGACAGGAGTTGGTGGTGGGTGCCAGTGCCCTATGTCCACTGGCACTTGAGGCACCACCCCTTGCCTTTCAGGTGGGGTCCTGTTCAGCTTAGAGGAAGGTGCCTCCTTCTGGAACCAGTTTCTCACATGGAGGATTGTAAGTATCTGGCTGGGGTGGGCACCTTGCTCTGACCAACAGTGTGGTGTCCTTGCCTAAGGGCCTGTGGAGCTGTGGCTGGCATCATGCCCCTTGGAGTCCATCAGGCCCTGTGCCTACCAAGACACTGGTGCACTTGCTGCCCAGGTCCCCATCCCAGGCAAAACATCACCCTAATGCAGCAGTTTTCAACCTGTGGGCTGCAACCCACAGGAACTGTATTAAAGGCCCACGGCATTATGAAGGTTAAGAACCACTGCCCTAATGCCTCCCAGCTATGTGCTAGAGTGGCTGGAAACCCCAAACCCTGTGTGCCTTTTTGTGGGGGACAAAAAGGGGACATCAGCAAAGGGCTGTGGTCCCAGCCTGCCTGGCACACAGTGGGTCCAGCTGTTTGGCCACAGTCCCTTCCCTTCTGCCTTGGATGGGGTCTGCAGACTCCTGGTCCCCTGAAGGATGGGAGGGGCCGTGGTCACTGCTGGAGCCACCTCCTCCTGGCCCCAGCTCCCATGCTCGGTGGTGGGCTTGGGGCACAGCTTTAGTGGTGCTGCTCTCCTTCCACAGTTCTTTGCTTCTATGATCTCTACCTTCACTCTGAATTTCATTCTGAGCATTTACCATGGGAACATGTGGGACCTGTCCAGCCCAGGCCTCATCAACTTCGGAAGGTTTGACTCAGAGGTAAGCTGCCACATCCCCACTGACTCTTCCTACTGCCAGGACCCTGTTTACTTGAGGCCCAGAGTTAGAATTGGTCTTTGGGAAAGCTCTAACCTTTAGCTGTGGAACTGAGCACTTGTCATGCACTTCAGGGGCCCTCAGATGCTCCAGGAAACTGTGCGTTGAGTGGTCCCTGATGTCAGGATGCCTGTAAGGCTGCATGCCCCTGGGCCAGCACACAGGCTATGGCTCAAGGGTGTCCCGGTGCATGTGGAGCAGTAGCTGTAGGAGTGCGTGGGCTTGGACCATCCTTTGTGGGGTGGCCCCGGGACCTGTGCTGCAGAGCCTCCCGGACATGGGTGAGAGGGAGATTCTAGAGTTCTGAGGATGGTCTGGTGCACAGGGAAACCTCAGAGTCGCCAGGCATCTTCTTGGGCTTGGGGACGTCTTCTCCTGGTGGCTAGAGACTGGGGAAGGAAGCACTAAAGCCTCCTGAGGCCCTCTGAGAGCCTCCTGATCCCCCAGATGGCCTGGGGGTGGGGGGAGGAGTTGCACACAGTGCTCAGAGTCTCCCTCCTCTGCGGCCCCATGTGGAAGTATTGTAAGGTTCCAGGCATGTGAGCAGATCTCATGATGTCCAGCCCTTGCATTTTCATGGAAAGGAGCCATGGGCTTTTCCTTCCAGCCTAAGCTTCCTCTTCTCTCTGCACAGAAAATGGCGTACACAATCCATGAGATCCCTGTCTTCATTGCCATGGGTGTGCTGGGTAAGGGCGCTCGACGGTGGATGTGGCTCATGCGGGGGCTGCTCCTTCTGGGCCTCACCCAGGAAGGGAACTGAGGGTGCTTTGTGTTGCTTCCTGTTACTTTTCATTGGCAGAATGAGGGGCTGGGAAGGGCCCTCCTTTTTTCTCTCTAAGAGGTAGAATGAGCCCCAGCAGGATTTATTACTCACTAGAAACCATTTTCCCTGGGAGGAAGACAAAGCCTGTGAGGACTAAGCCACCCTCCAGCAGTGTGTGAGGTGTAGGGAAAATATTTAACCCCTCTTTATAGCCTTTGAGGGGCCTCCTGCCTCCTGGAGAGCTGCAGAGCAGAGGCCCCACTTGCCTTTCCCTGTGACTCACGTACATCTCTCTTTCTGGTCGCAGGTGGTGTTCTTGGAGCTGTGTTCAATGCCTTGAATTACTGGCTGACGATGTTTCGAATCAGGTAAGGAAACCTTAGTGCTATGTAGGCTGCCAGTAGGTACGGCTACTCATGGCGTTTGAAAATGGATGTGGTGGTGTGGGTTTTATGCCCCTGGCCAAGGCTGGCAGGCTGCACGCATATGGGTCCTTCCCTGATGGCTTGTACCTGACTGACCTGCCCAGAGGAGAGTGTCTGGGGAGGGCCCCAGAGGACAACCCCTGGGTAGGAAGCAAGGCCCTACATGGACCCAGGACTGGCCTGGTGGATATCCACCCTTCGCCTGGGTTACCCTTTCATGTGACAAGAGCAGCAATTAGAGTGCTGTGGGGTCTATAGGAGCCTCCTGGGCTGGTGGCTCTTCCCTCCCTTATTCTTGTGCCAGTTTCAACTATGTTGGGCACAGCTAGGGTACTGGGAGGTTTCCCAGCATACAAAAGGGTTGCCTCTGGGAAGTCCTCACCACCAACCACATAGAGGAGGAGAACCGGGTTCTTGGTACAGTGGCAGGCTCAGGTTGCCCTGGCAGCTTCCAAGGACACTTCTGTAGCCACTCACATCCTGACACTTGGCTACAGGTACATTCACCGGCCCTGCCTCCAGGTGATAGAGGCCATGCTGGTGGCTGCTGTCACGGCCACTGTTGCCTTTGTGCTGATTTACTCATCGAGGGATTGCCAGCCCCTACGGGGGAGCTCCATGTCCTACCCACTCCAGGTAGGAGGCCTGGGCCCAGGTGATGGGGCTGGCAGGGGTGCAGCTATGAAGGGCCCCCAGCAGCCCTCGCCTCAGTCCTACTCACAGCAGGGGGATGTTGATGCAGCCAAGTTCCAAAAAAGAGCAGCCCTAGTGTGTCTTAGGGTCAGCCCCATCTACCCAGATCCCAGCAGAGGCTAGGTCATCTCCTGGAGCGCTAGGGGACAGGACAATGATGTCGGCTGAAGTCTCACCCCTAGTCCTCCTCCCAGAATGACAGCCTGATTAGAGCTGCAGAAGGGGTGGGCATAGGTGAAATGCAAACCTGCATCCACATAAAAGCTGTGTGCAAGAATTTCACAGCACCTAAATTCATAACATCCCACAGTGGAAACTGTACACACAGCCTTCCCTGCAGTGAAGGTTCTGCTGGGTAAAGGAAGGAGGCTCTGAACAGGCCTTAGCATGGACAGCCTTGACGATACTGTGCTCAGAGAGAAGCCAAACACACATGGCCACACTGTGTGACTCTGTAGACGTGGAACCTTCAGAGCAAGGAAATCCAGAGTAGCTCAGTGGTTGCCAGGGCTGGGGGAGAACAGGGGTGAGTGCTGACAGGACAAGGACCGGCTGTGCAGGGGCGTGTGGGGCAGCAAGCTTTGTTCTGACCCTGTCTTCTGTTGGGGCCTCAGCCTCCAGCCCCCACCCCTAGGTCTGCCAGGGCTCCCCAGGAACAGGCTTGTGAACTCCTGGGTCCTCTCTCCCCAGGAACGGGCTGGACACCTCAACAGGACTAGATGTGCCTCTGCAGCTCTTACATGTCCTGGGCCTATGTGTCCTTCCCTGCGTGGCAGCACCCCAACCTGACCCCACTGTGGGGGCTCCAACTCAATGCTGGCCAGGCCTGTGTCTGCAGCCTGCCAGCCTGTCCCCCGTCCAACCTATTCTTTCTCTTGGCCTTGCAGCTCTTCTGTGCAGATGGCGAGTACAACTCCATGGCCGCAGCCTTCTTCAACACCCCAGAAAAGAGTGTGGTGAGCCTTTTCCATGACCCTCCAGGTGCGTGCTGGTTGGTGCTATCAGGCATGGGGTGGGGTGCTGGGTGCAGGGCTGACACATTGGGTTCCTCATGCCCCTTGGAGTAGGGCCTGACTGGGCTCCTGGAGGGTCACATGGGCTGGCTCCATCCCTTCTCCCAGGGTGAATTTTCCTACTGGGTCACTCTGAGGCAGGGAATTAGCCACACATTTCTAGTAGAAGTGTAGCTACCTGCTGCTCCTGTCCCTAGCTGCCTCACCTGCCTTGTGCCCAGAGCAGTGCCTGTGGCACTGCAGGCCTATGGTGGAGCTGTGGGCCCTTTTCCCAGTACCTCCTTTCCCACTAATGTCCTTGTTAGATTTTCTGTCATGTAACTGGGGGCAGTTGGGACTGTTTCTAGTTGTTTTCTGTCACAAACAAAGCCACTGGGAATGTCCCAGTTCTCTGGTCTATTTTTGAGGAATTGGTTCATGAAGTTTAACAGAAACCCTTTTAACTGGGATGAGGCCGGGTCCCCAGATGCTCTGCGCAGGGCACTGGTGTCTTGCCTTAGGCTCATGGTTCCAGCATCTAGTCAACATTTCTCCTGCAGTGGGCACTTGGCTGGTATGGAATGGTGACCAATAGCCTTCACACACAGTCCCCTCCTCTCCCCTCCCCTTGGCCTTAAGGTCACAACATGATGACCTGCTGGCTGCACTAGCCAGCCTCCCCCACATCCCACCTGCCCAAACCCAAGCTAGGACTCAATCTCCTCCACATTCTGGCCACTGTGGACTTCAGCACCTTGCTGGGAAAGAACCTCCCTAGAACTGTGGTCAGACCAGCAGGTGCTGCTTCCAGGCCCAGCCCCTCTTCCTTTTCCACCAGGACCCCAGAAGGAGGTCTCTGAGCCATCCACCTGCCCATCCGCCTCTGGGAGAGCATTTTTCCTGACTATAGACTGGGTTGGGTTGCAGGAACTAACCTGTACTCAGGTGGGGAGGGAAGTCCTAGTCTTATGTCTTGTCTTCTAACTTGTTGGCTGGGTGAGGTTCAGTTTGTTGCATGGAGCAGAGCTGGAGCCTGGCTGCTACCTGTAGGGATGGGTTCTCCCCCTGCCTAAGATGGGACCTCCAGGCTGGGCGTGGCCCCCTTTCCTGGGCAAGGCTGTAGGCTGTAGTGTTGACCTCTGGACTCTGGACCTGGTGCTACTGTGGTCTGGGGTCTGACCTGTCCACCCCCTGCTGCAGCCATCTCATGAGGGGCTGTGTGGCTTCCTTGCCCGTGGTGTCCCATCTCATCCTTATGGCCCTACCTTTCCCCAGGGATGCTGAGCATACCTCCCAGGAAACAGCTGGGGTTCAGGGTGCAGGTCGTCTGGCTCCCAAGATGTGCCAGGGTGTGAGTCACATGGGAGGCTGAGTAAGCCCCTGCTCTCTCCTAGGCTCCTATAACCCACTGACCCTTGGCCTCTTCACCCTGGTCTACTTCTTCCTGGCCTGCTGGACCTATGGGCTCACAGTGTCTGCGGGGGTCTTTATCCCATCGCTGCTCATCGGGGCTGCCTGGGGCCGGCTCTTCGGCATCTCCCTGTCCTACCTCACTGGAGCAGCAGTAAGTGTGGGGTTCCTGGCATGCCAGCCTAAAGACCCCCTATAGATGGTGAGCAGCAAGTGCTGGAGTATTCAGCCCCTATGGGCACCCTGCAGGGTGCAGAGTGGGCACTACATGTGGGGGACCTGGCTGCAGTGGCCACCTGCTGCCTGCCATCCTCCCCTGCCCTCACCAGCCTCCTCCAAGGCCCAGTGTGTATTTGTGTCACCCTTTTTTCACTCCATTTATTCAAATAAGATTAAAATCTGTAGGAGGGACCACAGCGAGAGGTCTCTGCTCCCCAGGTCCCTGCCCTGCTCAAGTTTCCTTTTTCTCCTTAAAGGTAAACTTCGCATACCGTAAGATACTCCATTCTATTTTTTTTTTTTTTTTTGAGACAGTCTTCCTGTGTTGTCCTTGATAGAGTGCTGTGGCATCACAGCTCACAGCAACCTCAAACTCTTGGGCTTAAGCAGTTCTCTTGCCTCAGCCTCTCAAGTAGCTGGGACTATAGGCACCCACCACAATGCCCGGCTTTTTTTTGTTATGGTTGTCATTGTTGTTTGGCAGGCCTCAGGCCGGGTTTGAACCTGCCAGCCTTTGTGTATATGGCCGGCACCCTAACCACTGAGTTACAGGTGCTGAGCCAGATACTCCATTCTAAACAGCTCAGTGGGTGTTTGTCACATTCACAATGTTGTGCAGCCATCACTACCTAGTTCCAGAACATTCTCTTATCCCAAAAGGAAACCCCTGTGCCCATTAGCACTCACTCCCCGTTTTCACCTCATTTGGCCCACCCCCAGCCTGCTTTCTGTCTAGAGTTGCCTGTTCTGGACACTTCATGGAGTTCCTTAGTGTGTGGCCTTTTGTTCTAGGTTCTTTGGCTGAGGCTTGTCCATGTTGTAATATATTGAAATTTCACTCCTTTCCATGCTTAGCATTTTCCCAGGGTGGCACACCCATAATTTGGGCATCCATCCTCTCCCCTGCTGCTCACGTATGGATGATGTGGTGAGGCCATGGCCGTTCCATGGTTGTGTGTGTGAGCTGCTGGGTTGACTCCTGCATGTGGCTATTGGACTTAGCTTATCTTGGTGGTTTGGGGAATGCCATACACTCCAGCACTCCTGTATGGTCCCTGCAGATCTGGGCAGACCCTGGCAAGTATGCCCTGATGGGAGCAGCTGCCCAGCTTGGTAAGTCCTGGCTGTTCTGTCCTTGTACAGGGGTTTCCCTCTCATTGAGTGAACAAAGAGGAAAGTGGGCCCAAGGCAGGTGTGGTCATTGTCCCTACATGGCTGAGGGTCAGTGGTCAGGTCAGGGTTGGGTAGTGGGGTCCAGTTGGAGAGCTGGACAGGTCCATGTACTACATAGATACTTAGCATAGCCACATGAGCTGTGACCACCCTGCAGGTGGGATTGTGAGGATGACCCTGAGCCTGACAGTCATCATGATGGAGGCCACCAGTAATGTGACATATGGCTTTCCCATCATGCTGGTGCTGATGACCGCCAAAATTGTGGGTGACGTCTTCATCGAGGTGCGTCGGCTTTGGTCCCTCTCTCTGCAGCCCATCCCTCCCTGGCTCCTCTTTCTGAGGCCTTCAAGACCCCTTGTGCCCTGGCCCCTTTACCCACAGCCTCTCTGGTCCCTGGCCCCTCACCACACAGCCCTCCTATTCCCAACCCCTCACACTTCAACCTCTCACTCTGAGGGCCTCACACCCTGGCCTCCAAGCCAGGTGCCCTTGGGCTGTGGGTCCTACAGCAGCAAAGTGACATCATGACACCTGCCCCAGGGCTTGTACGACATGCACATCCAGCTGCAGAGCGTGCCCTTCCTGCACTGGGAGGCCCCAGTCACCTCGCATGCACTCACAGCCAGGTATGTGGCCAGGCTGCCTCCAGCCTCCCACTCCCCCTAGGCCTCATTCCCACCAGGAGCCCGGGGCAGGGGCCACAGGATATACCCCAGATGTCAAAGTGGGGGGTGCCTGGGTGGGAAGTGCAGGTTGGGGTGGGGCTTCTGGCCCCATCTTCAGCTGTCCTGTCTATCTAATGGGAGTGCCTGTGGGTGCTGGTGACCACGTGATGGGCTTCTCTGGCAGGGAGGTGATGAGCACACCAGTGACCTGCCTGCGGAGGAGGGAGAAGGTGGGTGTCATCGTGGATGTGCTCAGTGACACGTCATCTAACCACAATGGGTTCCCAGTGGTGGACCACACGGATGACACCCAGGTACCAAGGGCTTCTCCCTGGCAGGCCAGGGTCCTCATCTGGTGTCTGTTGTGAAGCATTATGTGGCTCCTAGCCATTCACTGGGTATTGAGTGAGGTTCTGTTACACACCAAGGAGCTGCAGTCCCATAGATGTAAGGAAGCTCGCAGGCTGTGTGAGCGCTGAATGCTTCAGCTTGGCTGGGCTGGTGCTAGGGGGTCAGTGGCTGTGTCCTTTGCTAGGAGTCCCTGTTGGGGTGTGCTGTCCTCTCCTAGACCCTGACCTGCTGGGGCGAGTTGACATGGATGCTGGGCTAGTGTTTGTTGGGGCACACTAGGGGCTATGCCCCCCCACCTCAGGGCAAAGCCACTGTCCCCGGGTTCACTTTCTCACTCTTTGCAGTTAGGCTACACGGTATCATCTCTGGCCTTTGGGGACTAAGGAGACCTCTCAAGTGAAACACTGAGGCAAGGCTGGTGCTTGTAGGTGGCTGCTGAATAGTGACCACGCCCAGATGGAACATCTGGCTAGAGCAGGGTTAGAGCCACAGTCCTAGCTGCTGGTGGCCCCTGCAGGCATTGTGGTCCTGACTACCAGCCTCTCTTACAGCCTGCCCGGCTCCAGGGCCTGATCCTGCGCTCCCAGCTCATTGTCCTCCTGAAACACAAGGTACGCTGTGAGGCCTGGGGCCTGGGTGTCTCCAGCCCAAGCTTGAGGCGCAGGGACCCTCTGAGAACCCTGCCCGGGCATCTCATTGGCTATTGCACACAGGTGTTTGTGGAGAGGTCCAACATGGGCCTTGTGCAGCGGCGGCTGAGACTGAAGGACTTCCGCGATGCCTACCCACGCTTCCCCCCAATCCAGTCCATACATGTGTCCCAGGATGAGCGCGAGTGCACCATGGACCTCTCCGAGTTTATGAACCCTTCCCCCTACACGGTGCCCCAGGTATCCGCCAGTACACAGGTGTCTGAGGGGACAGCACAGTGAGGGGCAGAAGGTCTATACCAAGTAGATTGAGGGAGTGGTTCCCCACTGGGGAACCATGATGGCAAAGGGAGCAGGGCTGTGCTGGTTTGGTTAAGGCCATGTGGCCAGAAGGAGCACTGGGGGCCAGGACCCCGGGAA